TTTTCCAAAATTAAAATAATCCTCATCATTGTTGAGATTCAACTTTTAAAGATACACAGAAGAGAATTAAAAAATTATTTCTCCCATAAGAAACCTATTCATTATTTCTGTAAGACAGCTAATCACACATTCCTTGTCTTTTCATTTAAAAGACTTTTTCTCTCCCAAGCTTAAGAGGACTTCAATGTGTGGGCCCTCTTTTTTACTTTAATAAGGGGTTATTATTTCACCATCAATCTGACTTGAGAAATTACAAGTATAAAATTTTGCACTATATTCTCCTCACCTGTATCCTCTAAAATTTTGGAGTAATTTTGTAATTAAATTACACTTCAAGTAATTATACTTCTGGGTTTTACACTCAAATTATCAGTCACCCTCCCAAACTTCTCCAACTCCCAGATGGTCTGAGCACAATTCTAAGGCCAATTTAGCATTAATGAAAATATTCCATCAGATTACTTCTTAAAACATTCCAATATTTAATAGTCTTTGAGCTACGCTAGCAAACCTAACTGAATTACCTCTTTATCTTTCAGTCCCAGGAGCAATACTTCTTCCATAAGGGTGAGGCGAATATCCTTAGAGTCTCCGGAGTCTTCATTGTCTGGTCTCCTCTCCTGATTAGTGTCTTCCTCACTTTCCATCTTCTTTTCAGAGTTTTTGCTTACTTCAGTTCGACGGGCCCGATGAGTTAAAGTGGTCATTCTCACCTGTTTCTGGAGGGAATGGCGAAAAAATATCCGTATGTGTGCTTATATAAATAAACAAATATAGATATTCAAACATGCATACTAAAAATGCATACAAAGAGGAAATAAGCTGGGCATGGTGGCTTACACCTGTAATCCTAGCACTCTGGGAGGCTGAGGCGGGAGGACAGCTTGAGGCCAGGAGTTCAAGACCAGCCTGAGCAGGAGCAAGACCCCATCTCTACTAAAAAAATAGAAAGAAATTATCTGGACAACTAAAAATACAGAGAAAAATTTAGCCGGGCATGGTGGTGCATTCCTGTAGTCCCAGCTACTCAGGAGGCTGAGGCAGTAGGATTGCTTGAGCCCAGGAGTTTGAGGTTGCTGTGAGCTAGGCTAAGGCCACGGCACTCACTCTAGCCAGGGCAACAAAGTGAGACTCTGTCTCAAAAAAAAAAAAAAAAAAAAAAGAGAGAGAGAAATACAAAAATAAATAAATAAGAAATAGGAAATATTTACAAATTTAAATATAGAAGGAAAGGAAGGAGTAATGACTAGAAAAAATCTTTTCCAAAATACAATAGCTTGGACTCCACAGATGACAGTGATAAAAGATCAAATCAGTAATTCAAAAGTCCAGTAGAAATGATCTTTTAAAGCCTGTAGATTTCTTATATATAATGTATAACCCAAGAGTGAATGCACACCACTGTCACTCCTCTTTTACAAAATGGATTTCCAAGTTAAATAAGATGGAACAGCAAAAAATTGTGAGCATTCAACTCCAAAATGCGTATAATTTATATAAAATATCTGTAAACACTCAATGATACTATATTATAAAATATATACAAAAAATACAAAGTAAAAAATAAAAAAAACTAAATAGAAATATATGTTCTAATATTTCCTTCCCATACCCTAATAACTCATTTCATGCACTCACTTTGGAGATCACTAGAGGATAACACTCAGAAAATCACATGTAGTGATTCCACAGTCAGTAAACTTAGCATCTCTAGCCCTAGCTACCCATCTTGCAAATACACAAACAGCTGCCAACAAAAAGTCCTGGCAAGAGAGTGTTAAAAGATTGGCAAATTTTTTTTCAATTATAAAAAAAAAAAAAGGAAGAAAAAAGAGAACATGTCTTTTTATTCTGTGCACTACAGTTGTTTAAAAAATCTACAGTCACAAGAAACTGCACTAACTCATCTAGGACAAAGTTTAATGTTAGCATATTTTATTATATAAAAATCTGGATGTCAATTTTTAAGATGATATACAACAAAAAAATTTTTTTTTTGAGACAGAGTCTCACTCTGTCGCTCAATGCCACGGTATCAGCTTAGCTCACAGCAACCTCAAACTTCTGGGCTCAAGAGATCCTCTTGCCTCACCTTTCCAAGTAGCTGGGACTACAGGCATGCACCACCACACCCAGCTAATTTTTACTATTTTTAGTAGAGACGGGGTCTCACTCTTGCTCAGGCTGGTCTCGAACTCCTGAGCTCAAGCAATCATCCTGCCTCAGCCTCCCAGAGTGCTCGGATTACAGGTGTGAACCACCGCGCCCGACCAACAAATATTTTTAATCAGCAATTATATAAACGAATATCTTTTTCGAGATCAAAAGAACAGTATTTAAAAGCCATTATGACTGGACCCCGTTCTACCTTCTAGCAATATTTCCCATAATTCCCAATATATACGGTTGCAAAACCTTTTCTCAAACATGCTTTCTTTCTGCCTCTGCTCTTTGTACTTGTTGGGGTTCTCTCCCTTTTCTCTTCCTCTAAATTTCACCCATTCTTCAAACGTCTACTGACCCACTGTGAAGCCTTAAGTGAATCTCCTTCTCTCTCCATTACCCATATGCGCCATGGCCAGAACTGGACTCTCCTTCAGCTGTACTTTCACAGAACTTTATACTTACTTCCTTTAAAGTATTTATTATAGTCTTTCTTTTGGTATGGCTGTCTGTCAACTGTAAACTTCTTGAGAGCAGGGATATTCTCTTCTTGGGTTTTTATATTCTCCATAGCAACTAGAAAATGTCTTTAACGTTGTAACTGCTCAATAAATATATACTGATTAAAATGAATACTCAGAAATGCATGAACATTTAAAACAGAAATACAAATGAAGTAACTTATCACAGATTCTTTGCATAAGGGTATATTCACAATTTTTTTGTGGGAAGCAGGAAGAAGAGTGAAAGAGGAAGAGAATCACAAAATAAATGCTTAAGGGCACTAACCCTATTTGACACAGTGAATTGGGATTATTTCTTAACCCAAAGCAAAAAACTTTAAACCTTCAGGGGAAAGAAAATAAAGAAGAATTTTCTTTGAGGAATTAATTTCCCCCGGACATTTACTAGTTAAAAATCCTATTTGAAAAAACCAAATGGCCAAAAATCAAAACATAAATAATAACCTCCCTCTTCCCATAACATAAAAAATTTAGAGGTTTTTTTGAACGTTAGAAAATGTGATTTTTCTCGTTGCTTACCTGATGTTACTCCTGGGTTACTGGTGGACGCAGGCTGCAGCTTGTATACTCTATTTTAGGAGAACACCTGTTCCCCCACCCCACCCCCGTCCTAGTAGGTGAAAAACTTCTCAGCCACGCAGAGAGCACAAACTTCCTGATCCTTCGATGCAGAGAAGGAATAACACATCAGCTTCCTCAGGATCACTAGGCAACCTACCTTGGTGTTTCTTCATTGGGCCAATCAGAAATCACCAAGGTTGAGCCCAGCCAATCGGAGCTTACGAGGGGAGGCTCTCCACCCGGCTATTGTGTTGCCATCCAGACAAACACCACCAAAAGGAGGCAGTTTTGTGTTCAACCTGACAGCTGGTCAATCCAATGAAGGAACCTTAGTGGAAGAGAGGCAAGAGGGCTGCGCTCCTCCCACTCCATTAAGCCGGCCAATCAAAGCGTTCAGTGAGCTAACACGGGCTGCCAATCTCAAAAGGTTTCTGTTGGTCAATTTCAGTGCAGCAGGTGTGTGTTACTGTAGCAGCGTATACCGGGACAATTAGGTGAGATGTGCTGGGATCCAAGCAATACAGCTAAGAATAAATAAACATTTTAAAATTGGTTGTTTCTGGCAGTCAGCTTATCCCTGACTTAACTGTTCCAGAAAAATCTGATCTGGGTCAGTTTGTGGACGTTTATTTAGTTTACCTTAAAAGGGAGGAGTGCACTTCTGCCATAGCATACATACCAACATTCCCTGTAGCGCTTATTACGGACAAACCTATGGATAGTGTTTATTTTTGGAATTTGGCTGCTGAAACTACAAGGGGCAAACAACCCAAGTTTTAAGTCCTTTTCTAAAGCAAAGAAAACGGGCAAGGTTGGAACTAGCTCTTAGGTTTCTCATGAAAGGCACAGTATCTTTCATACTACCACTCAAAAGATCTAGAAAGTGTGCTCAACTCTTCCAAAGTAATACCTACCAAATGATCTAAAAAATAGTACCTAAACATTTTCTGCTAATTAAATAAAAATTAGAAGCCATGAAAAAGCCTACATACTGAACAATATTTTATTTATGCTGCTAAAAATGTAAGACTTTAAAAATCAGTTATCTTTTTGTCCTGTAGTAAAAAATGTAAAAAAAAAGGAAAGCACCAATTTTAAATTGTACATTATATGTTATGTTAATACATTATATCAAAGTATAATACATTATATCAAAGTATCGAAGAACATTGTTTCAATAACAACACAATGACTAAAACACCCAGTTAAATGGTATAGTCTTAACATAAGAAAAAGTGAATCCCTGCCAAATTTTAATATCAAAGTAAACATTACTTGTTTCAAAAATGGCTTTAGAAGGCCTTAAAGGTTAATATATATTTAAGGAAGTGTCCACCAAAGTGGAAAACAGATCAGTATTGACTAGGTAATGAACAGAATCATGACATTTATACTTTTAGTTTTATTCAAAAGTTCTGTTGGATTTATCCCAAATAAGATTAAGGACCACAATATGACAGTCAGCTAAGAACTTCAATTTAGTGTATGAACTGCTTAAAACTACATATATATTTTCAGAGTTAGGGAAAACACACCTTAAAATAGAAATATAGTGTCCTTCAATTTAAATTGTTGAGAAGAACTTTGCAAATGTTTAGAAGAAAAAGCAATTTTTATATATGTTCCTTTGGTTCACTAAACTTTCTCCTTTTTGACACTGACTCTTGACTAGAAGAATCAAAGGGATGGAGGACCTGTCAAAAGAAAACAACTACTAAGAACAGATACTTTCCAGTTTAAATGTTTTTACTTTTAGATCTTTTTTCATGTCTCTGAGGTTTCTTTCCTTTTAAAAAAATTGTACCTAGTATAACTATTTCCCACTACATTAGGCTACCTGGGTTCTTTAAAAGTAGAGTAAAACTTATTATTGACATATGTACATCTTCCAGTGGCTACTGAAAGTATGGACTTGCAAAATGTAAGATCTTCATTAGGGTTGCTGTAGTAGTTAGAAGACAGATTTAACATTATGTCCTCAAAATAGTAAAATACTTTGGAGGAATGAGAAGGGAAAAAAGATTTTAAAATGAAATAGAAAATAGAAAAACATTCTACTTTGGCACCTTGGAAGATTTAAATCATGTCAATTTTGTATTTTTGGTACTTAGCAAGGCCTGATGTATATTAGACATTCAATGCATACTTTTGAATGAATGGGAGGATGAATCAGGGAATTTTTGTCTCCGAGTTATTGAACTTTAATTTTGATAAGTTAAACTCACTAAGAATAACAAATTGAATTAAGATCTTACAGGAAAAAAAATCAAGGCTTAATACATTGGTAAAAACTAAAGAACCTTGATTAATGAAATGTTAGGTTACTCCATTTCCTTCCTAAGTTATGGAAATTGAAAACGTATTAACCAACTATAATTACCCCTTTAACATTTGATTTTTTAAACACAGTCTTATGTTTTCAGTTGTTTAATTTTAACCTACTAATAATACTAAAATGTCTAGTTGGAAAAATATAAATATCTCAGAAATGACAAATACATGATCCGATTTGGTAAAATAAAGTTCAAATATAAAACAACTATAGGATTAAGGTCAGGAAAAGTTTTCTTCCTCTTGAGGTGCTAGAAGGAAACACTATATTTTTAGTGTTTATCCTGCTTCTACTTTAGTTTTGGTCTCTAAAAAGCTCAGATCACATTTGTGGCCCAATTTCAGCTCTATATAAACAAAATGGCCTGAATATTCTTATACTGTCACCTTCTCATTCTACTCATTTTTCCTGATACTGATTTTTATTTATTTTATAAATTCTTCTAATTACTTGAAGTCATTCATGGAGCAAGACAGTAGATATTTATGTGGAAAAAATTAATAAACCTACATAGCACCTCTTACTTCAAAATCACCTCAATTTTTAGAACAAAATATAATAAACAACATTTGAATATCAGAGCTCTCAGGTATATCCAGGGATATTATCAAATTTATCATTTTAAATTTAATCTACAGTAATGATATTATTGTACTTGCCATTTTATTCAACCTATACATTATCATAAGACTTACTGTTTTCCCAGATTTGAGGTGACTTCTCTTCCGATTTTCTTTAGATTTTACTGGTTGATTTCCATTTGCCTGCATAAGGATAGAATAATTAATTACTAACTGGTTATTTCTCAAAGAACAGCCAACACTTGATTTTTCAACCTTATACAACTATATGAAGTTTTTAAAAAACAGCTTTATTGAGATATAATTCAGATAGTATATAATTCACCCATTTAAAAGTGTACAATTAAATGATTTTAAGTATATTCACAGTTATGCAACCATCACCACAATCAATTTTAGAACACTTTCATCACCTCAAGAAGAAACTCCATACTCTTTAGCTATCACTCTCCTATTCCCCTATCCTCCCACCAGCCTTAAGATCTTCCATCTCAATAGCTTTCCCAATTCTTTTTTTTTTTTTTTTTGAGACAGGGTCTTGCTCTGTCGCCCTGGCTAGAGTGCAGTGTCATCATCATAGCTCACTGCAACCTCAAACTCCCAGGCTCAAGCGATCCTCCTGCCTCCAGAGTAGCTGGACCACAGCACACACCATCGTGCCCACCTAATTTTTCTATTTTTTGTAGAGATGGGGTCTTGCTCTTGTTTAGGCTGTTCTCAAATTCCTGACTTCAACCAATCCTCTGGCCTTGGCCTCCTAAAGCGCTAAGATTATAGGTGTGAGCCACTGCCCCCAGCCGCTTTCCCAATTCTGACTTTCAAATGAAAATAATTATATAATATGTGGACTTCTGTGACTGCTTTCAATTAGCATAATGTTTTCAAGGTTCATCCAAGTTGTAGTGTGTATTGGTACTTCACTCCTTTTATAGCTGAATAATATTCCATTGTACGAATATACACATTTTGTTTATGCATTCATCTGTTGATAGATATTTAGGATTTTCCCACCTTTTGGCTATTGTGAATAATGCTGTATATGCAGTTATTAAAACGAATATTGGAAAATGACAAGTCATTAACTGTCATTTTACTATTCTCTAAAAGGACATGCTTCTTTTCTGATACTTGAAATGTCCTTTCCAAGGATAACTTCCTTACTATTAATACATATACTATTTTTTTTTTTTTTTTTGAGACAGAGTCTGGCTCTCTTGTCTTGCCTAGAGTGCCGTGGCATCATCCTAGCTCACGGCAACCTCAAACTCCTGGGCTCAAGTGATCCTCCTGGGCTCAAGTGATCCTCCTGCCTCAGCCTCCTGAGTAGCTGGGACTACAGGCATGTGCCACCATGCCTGGCTAATTTTTTCTATATATTTTTAGTTGTCCAATTAATTTCTTTCTAATTTTAGTAGAGACGGGGTCTCGCTCTTGCTCAGGCTGGTCTTGAACTCCTCACCTTGAGCGATCCACCCGCCTTGGCCTCCCAGAGTGCTAGGATTACAGGTGAGAGCCACCGCGCCTGGCCTAATACATATACTATTAAATATTTTCATTTCTTGACCTTTCCTAACCATAATTCAGTCAGAAATCTCAAAATAAAGAGTACGCTGGCTCAGAGTTCCTATCAAAAAACATGTCCAGTTTCAGAAATGAATTTGTTTCCAAAGCATCTTCATGATACATTATAAGGAAATCTTGCTTAATAATTTTTTTAAACACTTGCCTTTATCCCTATATCCTAACAAAGGATAATCATCCTAAATAGAAGCTAAGAAGAATATTTTGCTGCTAGAAGTAGTAATTCTTGACATTCCTTTATCTCTTGCTTCATCAGCATACTAGTTCGAATGCTATCTTCTGCCGGTTCTAACTTCCCATTGAGAATGCAGGGGAAAAAAGACACCTAAAAATGGCACTACAATCACTGATGTCCTGGTAGATGTTTAACAACCAGATCTATGAGAGGAAGAAACCCTGAGGCATCTGCTGATTTCCATGCTGTGAATACTACCACCCTGTCCAATTTTAAGCTACCAACACGATGTCACCAAATAAGGAGTTGGGAAGAAATACTCTAGCACACCAACTGATAGAGTGAGTTATTTGTTTCCTAACTTAGAATATAATATTTTATGTATTTTACAGAATTCATTTTCTTTACTCCTGAACCTTTGAGAGTAACTTAAAGGCCCAAAATGAAATGTGAATTTATATTTAGTATAATTCATACCAAAAGCTAAAATAAAGCAGTGATTTTTTTTGCTTAAGAACATCAGATTCCCTGTAATCCTAGCACTCTGGGAGGCCGAGGCGGGTGGATTGTTTGAGCTCAAGAATTCGAGACCAGCCTGAGCAAGAATGAGAACCCGTCTCTACTAAAAATAGAAAGAAATTAATCGGACAACTAAAAATATATAGAAAAAAATTAGCCAGGCATGGTGGCGCATGCCTGTAGTCCCAGCTACTCAGGAGGCTGAGGCAGGAGGATTGCTTGAGCCCAGGAGTTTGAGGTTGCTGTGAGCTAGGCTGACGCCACGGCACTCTAGCCAGGGCAACAAAGCGAGACTTTGTCTCAAAAAAAAAAAAGAACATCAGATTCATTTTACATAAGATATATACAAAAGATTAAATTGCAATATACTATTAACAAGATAATCAATTTACAAGATAGAGCATGGGAATATTTTGGCATTATAGGAAATTTCCTTGGGAGTATGGATAATAATATCACTTCTCAAAGCCTTTCCTGGATTCCCTTCCCTAATGTACTGTAAATAAAATTATATAGCCTATTCAGACTTCTATAATGACCCTATGTCATGGGCTTGTTTATTTCCAGTTACTAAACTTTTAGCTGAGACCAGGAAGTATGTGTTACTCAGGTTATGTCCCCAGCAACTAGTAAACTACCTAACATATAATAGGTATTTAGTAAATATTGGTCTACTAAATGAAATATTAAAATAAACTCATATGGGAGAAAATTACATGGTTAGAATAGAAAACAAACATAAAGAGATATTTACCATTTTATTCTGAAAGATTTTTCCACTTCTTGTTTTGCTTTCAGACACATCAAGTTCAGATGTTTTACTGACTAATTGCTCAAACTAGAAATGAAAATAATTACACAAAACCATATAATAATATAATAAAACCCATTCATAACACAATAAATAAGGTCCAAGAATTTAACCACATAAAATGTAGGCTCTTGTTAAATTAATGAAAACCAAAAATTTTGAGTTGGTTTATACAGTCACAAAAAACGCAAAAATAAAGATAGTGAAACTGACACTGTACACAATTGACCAATCACTGGACTGAGAAAGTCCCAAATGATCAGCAGGCACTACCTCTTCCAGAAGATAAGAAATTCAGCCCACTCCCATTTGAGAAAGGGGCTGGCAGAGGAAGGCAGACAACCATCAATCCTATTATTTCCAAGTTCAAATTATCTAAATCTGTTATTTTAGGATTTACTCTATATGGAAAACAAAATTAAACATGTTATGCTCCAAGGCAACAAAAATGTATTATATGTCCATATAAAATAAATACAAAGCAGGGTGGAATAAATAATTGCGTAAGGCCAGGCGCAGTGGCTCACGCCTGTAATCCTAGCACTCTGGGAGGCCGAGGTGGGCAGATTGTTTGAGCTCAGGAGTTCGAGACCAGTCTGAGCAAGAGTGAGACTCCGTCTCTACTAAAAATAGAAAGAAATTAATCAGACAACTAAAAATATATGGAAAGAATTAGCTGGGCATGGTGGCACATGCCTATAATCCCAACTACTTGGGAGGCTGAGGGAGGAGGATCGCTTGAGCCCAGGAGTTTGAGGTTGCTGTGAACTAGGATGACGCCATGGCACTCTAGCCCGGGCAACACAGTGAAATTCTGTCTCAAAAAAAAAAAAAAAAAAAATTGTGTAAGATTCTACCTAGCTTTAAAATCCTGAGAGTCTGTAAATAGTAATTAGGGTTTATTACTAAACAAATCCACTAGCAATACACTTAAGACTTTTCAACATATAATTGCCAGATTTTGTTAATAATAAGCATTTTAAATATTTTATTCTAAAAGATCTAGAATAAGAAAAATCTGATAAATTAACTAAATAAGCATATATGCAACTGTGTTTTGGAAAAACAACTTAAAAATGAGATGGAACTTTCAAGTTCATACCTGAGAATGAGAAATTGAAAGATCTGGACTTTCTTCAGACCTCATAATTTCATCTTCCTCACAAACGAAACTTGATTCTGTAAAAAGAAGAAGTTAAAAGGGTATAAAATTGAATTGGAAGTGAGTTAATCCACATTTTCATTAACTTCTTACCTCCAAGTTCAGAAGATCCAGGGTTTTTTTTTTGCTCTTCCATTTTAGTGTCAATGTCAAAATCATCCTATACGTAAAGGAAAAAGATGGACATATTTCCATAAGAAATTAAAACAATTGTGCAGAAGTATTTATGAACAATTTTTTTTTCTTTTTTAGATACAGGGTCTCATTCTGTCACCCAGGCTAGAGTGCAGTGGCCCAGTCATAGCTCACAAACCTCAAACTCCTTGGCTGAAGTGATCCTCCCGCCTTGGCCTTCCAAAGAGCTGGGATTATAGGTGTGAGCCACCATGCCCAGCGAACAAATTTGTTTTATGTGAAGGCTAAATACAATATAAAAATACAACTACATTATGCTTGCTAGAAATAAAAGTAGTTCTAGAATTACTATCATATGACATTTATTTACCCAAACAAAGTATAAAATACTATTTTTCTTATTTTGCAGGCTTGCTTTAAGGACAAATGATATAAATATACAACTTTCCTAAAATGCATGATGATTCTAAGAACCCTTAGATTTTACTACTGTTTGCATGCATTGAATTAGACATGTTCACACTACAAACTTCCACTTCTATATTTCTGGAATTTCTTTCTTTTTTTTTTTTTTTTTTAGTATGAGGAGTATTTTGAATGTTTCTGGAATTTTTGTGCAAATGCTAGCACATGCTCTAAATATGCCCCAACCATCTTCAGAGAGTTAGTGAAGGATAAGCTCAGTCATGGTATGGTACAAATAACAACAGGTTTAATATCTACATTATAATTATTGTTCCCTTTGTGTCACATGTGAAAAAGATTAAAATATTTTAAAGAATGCTACAAAAATTCCAGCCATATGTTTTTATAAAGCAAGATTGGGATTTAGGTTTTAGGTAAAAGTTTTCTTCTTTGAACTGGTTGAAAATTGATTGAATTTTCTATTTGTAAAAATGTAGCCACAGAGCCCAATTTAGAATAGTGAGCCTCTGTACATAAGTACTATAGTCATAATTTAGTATAAATTGAGACAAGAGAAAACAAGATAGGTGACATTAAAGAACATAATGTTGATGCTTGAAAGATTAAAGCAAAAATGACTTTCACATTTGCTGGGAGTGAGGCAACATAAAAAGCTCCTTTATACTTCTATTCATCCATTCACTCAATTAATATTGAGAATCTTAGGTGCTAGGCACAGGAGGATTAAAAAGACAATGCGGTGGCTCACGCCTGTAATCCTAGCACTCTGGGAGGCCAAAGTGGGAGGATTGCTTGAGGTCAGGAGTTGGAGACCAGCCTGAGCAAAAGTGAGACCCCCGTCTCTACTAAAAATATAAAAATTAGCCGGGATGTTGTAGTGCACACCTGTAGTCCCAACTGCTCAGGAGGCTGAGACACGAGGATCACTTGAGCCCAGGAGTTTGAGGTTGCTGTGAGCAAGGCTGACGCCACAGCACTCTACTCAGGGCAAAGGAGTGAGATTGTTTCAAAAAAATTAAAAAAAAAAAAATAAAAAGACGAATAAGACATTTTTCCTTCTTTCCAGGAATTTCCAGGCTGCTTCAAGACAGTGACTTTCCAGGCCCTGAAGAAATCCAAGCATAGGTTACCTGAACACTTTGTAGATATGTTACAGAAAGGATTCCATTTTAGTTGGAGGTTGGACCATTAGCGCAGTGATTTTCAAATTATGCCCTCAAGCTCTAGGGGTTTCCTCAGAGTCCACTGTGAGGGTAGCAGGTTAGATAGTAGATGTGTCTCTAAGACCATTCCCTGCTTCAAACAGAATAGTTGTGCCTTTAAATTCTGAGTATAACGTTGTTTGGACCAAGGTAAAAAGTTTTAAAACCATAGGCCTAGCCCTAGCCCTAGCCCTTCTTTAAGGTCCCTTCCAACTGTGAGTTTATGATTTTAATACAGTATTTACAATAATATTAATGGGAACTGTGAAAATGTTCAGAATTGAGTCAAACATTTTTTACTGTTGCACTTTATAAATCTTTAAATATAACTCACATTTATATAATGCCCCTGTTCATCTCCTAGATCATCTTTGTCCATCAGGATTTTTTGAAGTGGTGTTTTTAATTGTTTTGGTGATAGTATACTTGAATCAACATTTTCCACTCGTTCTTTCTCAGTGGTCATTTTCACTTTGAAGGTGTGAAAAGGTGTTGGGACTTCTCCCACATTTAAGTACATAGGCTCCCCTTCAAATATTACTCCTTCACAATCACCATCCTTAAAACCGGGAGGCTGGTAATCTGGGGGCGTAACTGCAAAAACGTAAGTATAAACTGTGCTGTTCATGAAATTGAAGAAAATATTATTATTATAAAAACCATGTAGATTAAAGCTATTCCAAATAGTATAGAAGGGCATAAACTAAAAAGTAAAAATCATCCTCCTACTATTTCCAAGTCCCTATTTTATTCCTGAAAGGTAATTTTGTTTTCTTCACTTGATTAACTGTGTGACTTTGAGTAAATTATTTATCATCCCTGATTTGGTTTTCTCATTTGTCGAATGGTGAAAATAATAGTACCTACTTCACAGGGTCATTGTAGGTATTAAATCAGGTATTATAAAATGTTAAAAACAGAACTGGCATAAAGTGTATTCAATAAGTGTTAGCTGTTATTGTTACTGCTTTATGGTCTTTTAGAAGATGTTATACATGTGATAAAAGATAGAATATGTCATATCTATATGTTTTAGGAAAACACACATATATATTTCCTTAAAAAACACAAATGAGATCATACTGTTCTGTACCTGGCTGTTTTTAATTTAATAATATTTCTTGGATAACTTAATTCATCAGCACCTTCTTTTTATTTTTGTTGTATTTTTTTTGAGACAAAGTCTTGCTCTGTTGCCTGGGCTAGAGTGCCATGGCGTCAGGCTAGCTCACAGCAACCTCAGACTCCTGGGCTCAAGCCCAGGCGCAGTGGCTCACGCCTGTGATCCTAGCACTCTGGGAGGCTGAGGCGGGAGGATGGCTCGAGGTCAGGAGTTCGAGACCAGCCTGAGCAAGAGAGAGACCCCGTCTCTACTAAAATTAGAAAGAAATTAATTGGACAACTAAAAAAATAT